AGCATGTTATATTATTTCATCTCAGTGTAACAAGAAGAAATAGAGTAACAGAAGTTAGTGTAGGTAGATATGTTTTAACTTCTTCAGCTTTCTCTTTTCGAAAAATTATAGTGATTTTCACAGAAATTATGTAGTGTTCAAAATGTGAAAGTGTATTGCAAAATTGAATTATGTATCGTTTTATCCTTTGAATACGTTTGGCTGATTTCAGCAATTTGATTCAAAGAGCTTTATTTCAATTGTATAGCATCTCTGAAAAATCCAAACAATTAGGGCCAAAGAAAGGGATAACTGATTATCAAGAAAAGCAGCAAGTATACTCTTAGTTGATGTAGTATTTTTTTTTAAACATTTTATTTATTTATTTGACAGACAGAGATCACAAGTAGGCAGAGAGGCAGACAGAGAGAGAGAGGAGGAAGCAGGCTCTCCACGGAACAGAGAGCCCGATGCGGGGCTCGATCCCAGGACCCTGGGATCATGACCTGAGCCGAAGGCAGAGGCTTTAACCCACTGAGCCACCCAGGTGCCCCTCATGTAGTATTTTTGATACTGCTTTAGTTAATTCCTTTTGATTTACCATGTATTAGAATATCTCACATAACACCTTTAACCCGTGACACCAGCTTTTCTTTTTTTCTTTTCTTTTCTTTTTCTTTTTCTTTTTCTTTTCTTCTTTCTTTCTTTCACTTTGTGATTTTTCCAGCATATCTACCCAAATAAGTGTAGAAAACACTGTATTTGTTTACTAGTTATGTGTATCTATTTATTCATTAGTATACCCAATTATAATTGGTTTTTAAATTTTGTCTTAGCAGTGTGTTACCCCTAGGAAGAAGTATTGATTGTAGGATATTTGGAAAGTAAAAACAGGATAAAATAGGCAATAAAACTATTTGTAACCCCAGCCTGCATCTCCCAGAGAGCTAGAGCGATACTCTAGTGCATTTACGAAAATATGTCTGCTTGAGGGGATAGTGATGCTGAAGAATACAGTAGTCCAAATTGGCCAACAGACAGATGTAAATGGTTTTCAGAATTGTTTTATTTAATCTGCCCATTGATTTAGTAAAATTCTAAAAAAACAATTGAAAAGAAACTGAAAGTGTATGATGTAAAGAATTGCCTATTACGGAAGGTTTTTGAAAAATGGTTTTCAGGCTCCTTTTTAAATTTTTCAATGCTGATAGAAAATTGTAATGACAGAGAAAGAGAGGTAGAGACAGAATAAATATGTCTTCCTGTCAGGACTGGGCCAAATTCCTCTAAGTCCTGATGAATCCATAGTAATTATTGTTACTGTAGTATGCCTGAGATATGTATTTAAGATTAGTTTATCAACTATGAATTTAAAAATTCTCCTGCCTTTCTGATCTGATGTGTATCTCTTCATTTAAGAGACATGGTCTCTGTCGTCATGCTATGTATGGATCACAGATAAGGTCATAAACGTTGGTATCTATTTATTTTATTATGATTATCACACTGATAATAGTATCAGTACCTCATAAATCACCTTTTTTGGTCACAGTTGAAAACTATGATTGGCAGAACAGCTGCACAAAAATGTCTTTGAGCAAGAGGTGTGGGTAGTCACATCATTCTGTAACATGAGCTGGAGAATAGGAGAAATGAGATAGAATCGTTTTCACTTTTGTTTTTCCACTTAGACTGCAACAGCAACAAGGTAGTTAGGAGTCTAGATTTGACTTACCTAGCAAATTATTTTTCTTCTTGATAAATCAAATGGTGATAATTGTGGAATATATAAAGTTATTTGAGGAAAGTAAGTTTTTAAAAATTTCTTCCCAATACTGTTAATTCCAGTTTTTCCCATTGGTTAAGGACTCCCTTAACAATGTCGAGGTCTGGTTTTGAGAGTTTGCAGTCACTTTTGTTCAGTAGAACCACCTTATTTTGTTGATCATATGTACTTTTCACCTTAAAACTTTAATCTCGGGACGCCTGGGTGGCTCAGAGGGTTAAGCCTCTGCCTTCGGTTCAGGTCATGATCCCAGGGTCCAGGGATGGAGACCTGCTTTGGGCTCTCTGCTCAGCAGGGAGCCTGCTTCTTCCTCGCTCTCTCTGCCTGCCTCTCTGCCTGTTTGTGATCTCTGTCAAGTGAATAAATAAAATCTTTTTAAAAAAAACTTTAATCTCAAACTTACTTCAAAACTATTTACTTCCTCTTTCCTCAGAGCTCTTGTTTTAGCTACTTGCAGGAGATCAGGCGCTGAAGAGGGAAGGGTTGATGAGTTGGGAGGGGGAGGTATGGGTCTCTTATCTTCTGAAGAATCCAGACCTAAAGGTAGCACAAGCTGCATATTCTGCTTGTTCCTCAGTTCTCAGAAGGCATTTCTTAGGGCTGTCACCTGACATTGTCTTTTATTGGCAGCCACAGGCTGGACTTGTGGGCAGGTTCTGTAGCTCAGCAGCCTCTGACTGGGAAACTGGACGGGGCTGTCTACTCCTTCTTCAGGCACCTCAGACATTGGAGTTCCTCTTTTTGGCTTTGGGGAGTGGAAGGAACCTCCTCTTGCTGCCCGAGAAGTAGGATCCTAGCCTGTCACTTTTATGAGTCACTTTGTGGAGAAGGGTCTGACTCTAATGAGAGTGACTCTTGAGCACCTCTGAGCCAAGCATAAAGGGATACACTTAGCATCTTTGGTTTTCAGTTGGGGCCTTCATTGGAATTTCAGAAGTACAGGAAAGACTCTAGTCAACCTCTGTTACCTCTAATTGCAAACGTGATCCTTAGGATCCACTTCAATACTCTGGTAATAATATTTCAGTACCAGCTTCGAGTTGACAAAATTGGCGTGAGTAAATTTAGGCAGTGGGAGGCACCTTCTTAGGGGTGAATTACTTAGCTTCCTGCTTTCCATATAATCTCTTCTCCTTAGTGAAAGTATGGCACTATACACATAAGCACACACACACATTTTAACTATTTAGGATGTAGTGTTTACATCTGACCCCTCTGGGTGAGGCCCAGAGTGGTCTGGATACTTTTAGAAAAGTTAGAAGGAAAATTCCATGAAAGGAAAACTCATGATAATTTCAGATGCATTATAATCCAGTGTATTAACCTAAAGCCCTCAGCAGTATGCTGTAAATTGCATATTTTTGAGACGTTAGCATTAAAAGAGCTTTGTTAAAGGCAATGAAAAGGAATTGTATTTGCAGATACTTAAATGCTTTGTGATGAAAACATAAACTCCTTTTCTTTTCCCTTCTTTTAACAGAACTGAACACAGCATGTTATTTCTCCCAGGTCCACAGTATACCCTTTAGAGAAAACAGTTTCTGATTCTTGGGAAGAAGCCAGCAAGGTTATTTTCACCTTTGATACGGCTGTAGTTGGTGATTTCAATCTTACTCTTAAAAAATTGTCTTGAATAGGGCCACCTGGGTGGCTCAGTAGGTTAAGCCTCTGCCTTCGGCCAGGGTTATGATCTCAGGGTCCTGGGATCGAGCCCCACATCGGGCTCTCTGCTCAGCGGGAAGCCCGCTTCCCCCTCTCTCTCTGCCTGCCTCTCTGCCTGCCTCTCTGCCTACTTGTGATCTCTCTCTCTGTCAAATAAATATTTAAAAAAAAAAAATTGTCTTGAATAAAAAATATTTTTTGTGCTAACATCTGTAGGTTTTCAGTAGATGTTGGCCAATTAGCTGATTAAAACTTCTAGGTTACAGCTGTTCAGGGTGATCAGAGTGCCCTGATGGGGAGGAGAGTAATCCGTCATCCTTTCCAGGCAGGTATTTTTGCGTCACACAGTTATGAAGCCAGTCTGTGGTGAACATACTTTGCTGAGGAGTCCGTGAACCTCTGCCTAGGATTGGCACATTCTGTGAACTCTTTCTCAGCCTTGTATTGATTGAGATGCCTTGTTTCTCTGTAAAAACATTCTTGTTATGTGAGAGTGAAGACTTTAATTAACCTTTTAAAAAAAGGCAGTTGAATTTTGGTAGGAGGCTGTGCACAAAGGAGTGTGAGAGGAATATGTTTTGGGAGAAACTCTGGAGCCAATACAAATATTTTCCTACTTAAGACTTAAGTGACTTGAGGTTGTCTTGACTGTTGGCGATCTTACTTTTTCTACAAATTCTTTAAAATGAGGAGCTAAAGTGATAGTGAGTGATGTTTTCCTAGGCTCTTTCTAGGAAGTCATTTATTTCCAGTACCAACTGGTCAAAAACAGGACAGAAAATAGTCCCATATGAATGCATTTCTATTTCTGTAAAATACATGGATTCCCTAAGTCCACTGAGTGGGGAAAAGTAATGTCTCATTACTTTAGCTGAATTTCAGTTAATGGTAGTATTTAAAATACTAAATAAAAAAAACAAAAAAGACAGCTTGTTAACCAGCACCTGCTTATTTTTTAATGGTATCCAGTGGAGAGGAATTGCAGTTGGGGAATTTTGAGCAGTGTTAGAATTCTGTTGATTCACACACAAAAGAAGTCTTTTTGTTTTGTTTTATTTTGTTTTTACTTTTTAAACTTTTTAAACAATGGTACAAAAGAGAGGTTTCGTAAACATTTTCTTATTTTTTATTTGACAGAGAGATCACAGGTAGGCAGAGAGGTGGGGCGGTGGGCCGGGAGCAGGCTCCCTGCTGAGCAGAGAGCCCAATGTGGGGCTCTATCCCAGGACCCTGAGATCATGACCTGAGCTGAAGGCAGAGGCTTAATCCACTGAGCCACCCAGGTGCCCCAAAAGAGAAGTTTTAAACTTTCTTATCAAGCATCAGAATTGTTGATTGAAAATAATCAGGACCTCTACTTAGGTTGTGGGAAATTAAAAGACCCAGGGCTTTTGAATTCTACCACTGGCATATCTGTGACAGATTAAAAGAAACTTCTAAATTTGCTAGTTTTTCATGATTGCTTTGATTGATATGATTTATATTATTATTATTTTTTTTGGGTAAAATACCAATATTTTTCTGTAGCTCTCTTTTGTGGAAATAATTTGAGTTTTCTGTTTTAATCTTTTAGGTATGACGTTGATTCCAAGAGCCCCAACCTGTCCAAACATGTAAGTTTATACTTTGTCTTTATGATGATTCCATAATAGAAATTACAATATCACTATTTATGATTAATATTTATGTTGTTACATTAATATTAAAGGTATGTGTCCCTAACTTTTCACGTAATAATTGTCATAGAAAATAAATAACATTTTTCAAGGACCCTAGAATAACATTTGGAGGAACATATTAAAGCAAAGATAGCTTTCATAGGTAAAATGAATTAATCTTGTTTATTATTTACTTATCTGTTTTTTAAAGAAATGTCACCAGTTCCCTGGAACTGGAGTTGGATCCAACTTGGAGTTGGATCAGGTTAAGCAAGATGAAATAGTGAGCCTGTGTCATTTGGAGAGGCTTCACTTCTGAAACAATGACAAGTTCTTGGGTGTAGGCAGAGTGATTTGCTAATTCTGCTGTCCTTGTGGTCCATTCGTTCAATGATATTTTCTAAGTGCTTCCTCATGCTGTCATCATGTCAGTTTCTGAGGGTATAGTATGAACAAGATAGACATATAGAGTCTATCCTCAAGGTCTCCTACAGTCTCCTTTTTTCCTTTTGGGTCCTGATTATTCCTCCATCTATCTGCTGCTCTTATCTCAAGAGCTCTACTTCCCAGGCTACAACTGTTCCCTGGGGACATTCCCAGGTCCAAGAGCAGCAAAGGGATCAGAAGTAGGCAGAGGTCTGGAGGGAGGAATGAGGGCGAGATTCTCTGGTCAAGCATTGATGATCTGATCATCCTGTTTATTGAACTGTGGGAATGGAGTTAGGCCAAACTAGGAGGAAGGGCTGTACGGGATCTGAAACCAGCATTCTGAAGAGAGTTTAACCAGGTTCCAAGTGGAATCTGAGTACATGGATGTGGAACTGGCAGCCATGTCAGGGTTAAGAGGAGAGAGGGTTAGGGTTAGGGTTAGGGTTAGGGTCATAGTTGTGCTCAGAGGGTCAGGGGGATAATTTTTATGTCTCCATTGTTGTAGCCTATGGATTAGAATAGATGGATATATATATATGTATATATATATACATATATATATATGATTTCCAGTATGATTTGGAGAGGGATAATGTCATGATTCACAGAAGAGAAGACACATGGGAGGTTATCACGGGCAAAGAGGATGATTTAGGAAACTGGAAAGCTGGTAAAAATAGTGGTAAAAATCACAATTTACTGTTCTTGTCCTTTGTTGTAAGGAAGCTATGATATTTATTTTGTTATGAAGCATAAAGCAGAATCACTGAAAAAGCATTCAGAGAAAAGTCTTTACTTTTTAAAAAAGATTTTATTTATTTATTTTTTTTATTTGAGAGCGAGAGAGAGAGAGAGAGAGAGAGAGCGCGAGCGAGAGGGGCGCGGGCAAGCGCACATATTGTGGGGGAGGGGCAGCAGGAGAGGGAGAAGCATCCTCCCCACTGAGCAGGAAGTCTGGTTGATGTGGGGCTCTGTCCCAGGACCTGGAGATTATGACCTGAGCCAAAAGCAGATACTTAACTCGCCAAGCCACTCAGGCGCCCCTAAAGAATACTCTTTCCAACTGACTTTTCTAGAAATTGAAAACAAATACTGTAGTAAGCTCATTACTCCGCATGAGTACAGTTCACTGCAGTTGCCATGCCGCTTTCCTGCCCCTAGTAAGATTTATAGCATTGTGGCTGGACATTTAAAACTTATTTGCATAGCAAATTGGAATTTGTATTGGAAGTTTTCCAAATTTCACTGGAAGAATCAGAAAAAGAATTCCATTTTCTAGTCAAAGTTTCATTGCAAGGAAAGAAAATGCATTCATTTACCTCACATAGAGGTGGTTAATATTAAAGAAATTTAAGAGCGACTCATAAATGGGATGTGCTTGCCCTTGCAGGAAATGCAGCTAGAAACAGGTGTGTGGATGGGGACTGAGACAGCTGTTTTCTCGATTTCTCTCCCTCTGAGGCCACATATTTTTTTCCATTATAGCTCTTCTCTGAGCTTCCGTTTCTCTCTGAAGACCAAATCTCTCTGATTATTCATCTTCGTGTACATAAGAAAAATGAACTCCCTAAACCCTGAGCGGACATAGACTTTCAAGGGCCCACTCTCCCTGAATGCAATTTTTATGTTTCTCAGTTCAGACTACTTTTTGAGGGCGTGATAACTGGGCAGTTAAGGACATTCCCATGGGGTTGGATATTTTGAGGGTAGGTGGGAAGGTGGTAAGATGCCGTCCTTATCAGTGTCACTGCTTTGAGTCCAGGGCAGAGACTAGTATGTAGGATAGGAGAGTACCTCAAACATGATTATATTTTCCTTAAATAATCTGCAATTATTATTATATAAGAGCTATATACTATATATATATCTATCTATCTTAAAATGTTTCTTTTGCAGAATAGCTTTTTATATTTTTCCACACAAAACACTTCATATCTTCCTCTTGATATCTTGACTGTGCTTCACCCTTGTGCTCTCTCCTCTACCACCTTCTTATCACCATAGTTCTTTTCAAAACAGCCTAGGTTTTTACCATCTTCCTTTACTGTGTTCTGGTTTTCATTTCTGCTTGAACTATTCTGACATAGGTTAGAGGAAAGTTTTGTGGCTTCACTTTCTACTTTACTTTGAATTACCCATTATTTGGGGACAAAATTGATTGCCCTGTTCTGGAAATCCTTATCTCCTCTGACTTCCACAGAAATGCCTCCCTTACGGAGACGCCTGGATGGCTCAGTTGGTTGAGCATCCAACTCTTGATTTGGCTCAGGTAATTATCTCAGGGTTGTGAGATGGAGCCCTGCGTTGGGCTCTCCCTGCTCAGTGGGGAGTCTTGCTTCTCTCCCTCTTTTTCCCTCTCCCTCTACTCCTCCTCCTGTGCAAGCTCGCTCTCTCAAATAATTCTTAAAAAAGTAAATGTCTCTCTTGCTTCTTTTCCTACCTTAGTGTTTACTCATCATCTATCTTTTTTTTTTAGTTTCTCTTTCTCTTCCTGTTCTCTAATACTAGTGTTTCTCCTGATTTGGTTTTTAGCTTTCATCTCTTACTGCATCAGCTCTTGTTGGGAGATCTCAACCATTTCCATGCCTTACCCCGGTAACTCTAAACTGTCCCTCTGCATACCTCAGCAAATACAACTTTCCAGCTGCTTGTTAGATGTTGCCTGGTAGATACTCTGCAGAAGCCTAAAATTCAGATACAACAAAAATGTATGACCTTTTCCAGGTTTGCTCTTCTGCTTGTATTATCTATTGCCAGAATTACCAACAGTGTACTACTTAGGAAACTTGATTGTGTGTTCATCGCTTTCTGTCTCACGTTCGACAACCTGTGTGTGACCAAATCCTGTTCATTCTGATGAAGTATGATTTCTCTTCTGTCTTCTTCCTTTCTTTCTGTTACTTAATCCAGACTCATCACCTTTCTCTTAATCTATTGCATGGCTTCCTATAGTTCTCGTGTTTTGTATTACCTCACATTTTAATGTATTCTTTACATTACTCCCTATGTTATATGTCTTAAATATATTTAGTAAGCAATACAAATTTGTTAATAATTGCGTGAGCTTGTAAATAGATGAAGCATGTTAGAAGAGGGAGGAAATGTGTTTTTGAATTGTTACAAGAATTGTTACAAGAATTGTTGTCTTGAATTTCTGTTAAAAATTAACAACAAAAGCCCTTCCTAATTTAAAAGCATCCAAGGACAGATTTTAGGTGGAAGAGCATATAACTCATTCAACCCAAAAAGAGTTCAGGAGGCATTTAGATCAGAGGAGCCAATAAACAAACTAGGTCTACTCCCTGAGGATACAATTGTTTCAAAGTGTGGTTGTCTACCTGCTAGTTTTGCAAAGTGAAATAAAAACTGGAACCTTTTAGGAGAGACTGCAAAGTGCCTGGGCTTGCATGTGGAGAACAGGCACACCTTTCACAAAGGGCATTTGGTAGCGAGAGAGACTCCTTGAGTCAACAATAAGAAAATCTTTTTTTTTTTTTTTTTCCATTCTTATATCTGATAAGTTTGGCAGAAACCCCTTCCAGGATGACTTTATTTGATTTCAGTACATAAGGGTCTTAGATCAAATTCTTAAATTTTTGGAACTAGTGGGGAAAATGGAGATATAATATAGAATTTTACCTTAGGTTTCTAACTTTGCAAATGAATACAAAGTGAGTGGATAAAGGATCAGTATCCTTTTAACTAGTTTTTACTAGTGGAGAAAAAGTTCTTAGTGGAGAAACATTATGCTCCAGGCTGACTTATGGAAACCAGGGACAATTTCCTTTGCAGGATTTATCCACTTTATGATCCTCTAAGAAAATTATTGAAATATCATCACCCCTGAAGTGTTAGATCCTGTGAACAGTATCTGGCATTTTGAATTCCAGCTTTGTTCTCTGAGTGCTGTTGAACCCACTCATCTTAATGCCATTAGCAGAACTACATAGCATACTTTCATTTGCATAATTTAATTGCATCAGCCAAATCATTAATGAAAAGATTAATAACAGGGCCATAATTGGTGAATCTAGGATTCTGCTTGGTGTTCTAGGCCAGATGACATCAAAACTGTACTTGGTGTACTAAATTTTCATACCCACCAGACAATCCAAAATGTATTTATTCATTTGGTTGATTTCAGAAGGTACCCACTAAAATTTTTGTTTTAGACATGCTAATGGATCACTGGATTATTTTGACTACAAAATATTAGCCTTTAGTGAAGATGTGTATCTTCTTTGGTACATTTCCGAAGGATCATCTGTAGAAGCTTCTATATGTAGATGAGTTGTATTTGAATATTTCATTTGAAAGATAATTGTTTGAACCAAGAAGTGCGTTTTCTCATAGGAAGAGATTTATAAATGGGGCATGATTTTTTTTTCATTAGAAGAAAAGCCAATTTAACCCATATATAACTGAACCAAATTCTAATGTATTGTCATAAAATCAGGCAAGTAATGAATGTGTTTCATGTGCTGTTCAAGTGCTGAGGAATGTTGCAGTATATAAGACAAACAAGG